GCCTCTTTCCCGCTGACGGCCGCCGCCGGCAGTCCCTTCGCGCCCTTTCTCGGGCCCTCTTATTTGACCCCATTCTACGCCCCGCACCTATGAACCCGGACACCTTCTGGGCTCCCCTTCCGTCAAGATCACGAGTGATGGGCAAAGTAGTATGGCCCTTCCTCCTCCATCAAGGGGCGCCGACGCGCAGGGACCGCCCCCTCCTGGTGTAAGGGAGTCGGCGCTCGCCCTGACTTTCCAGCTGCCAGGAAACGCCGCCAGAGGGCGGGGAGAAGCCACCTGCCGGCTCCTGGCCGCGCCCCTTCCCGCTGAATCCACACCGGTCACCAAGGGTCAAGGATTTGCCGTTTTAGAAAAAGCGTCTGGATACGGAGACTGTCCTCAAATCTTCCTGTTACTCTTTACTTTAGGTTTAATTCAGTTCAAGGGCTCTTCCTGAGGGTGTGGGAGTTTGACGCAGGGCCAACAAAGCTGCCAGGATTAGAGACACGAGGGGACCATGCCCTTCTCACCAGTTGCTCACGCTTAGGATGAACTCTCCAAAGATTCTAGTTCCCTCGGAGGGTAAGGAGCTTAGCCTATTTCCCTAGCTGATTTCCGTCTTCGTACTTGATTTATGGCCCAAACCCAGCAATTCCTCCCAAATCCTGAACAAAGCTGGGGAGAACCAGGTCCCTGAGTGCACACGGCCGCTGTGAAATGGATTATTTTTTAAATGGATAAAACGAATAATTTCTAGACCTTCATGTAAAATTTGGACTTGAGCACAATACTTGCTCCAAACAGACTCTCAACAGGTTATTCCTGGGGGCTACCTTATTTTTCTGAATAGGCCAGACGTTTATGCTAGGCTATCCAGCTTTGTAGCTTCTCTGCCAAAATAGGCACACGCCTACTACACTGGTCAGCTTGGACAAACCACAGCAGTGGTCCCCAGTGCACGACAATGATAATGGAAGAAGCCACTGGTGGCTCAACTAATATAATCAACTCCATGCCCCAGGCTGCCTATTTTGACTTGTAGTATTATGTACTTTAAAACTTGAGTCCCAGGGGCCAGCAGGTGGTATAGTGATTAAGGTGCTGGACTCCCACATGACTGACTGTGGTTTGAGTCTCAGACCAGGGGTCTTGAAACTCACGCTGGGGTGCCAGTGTGCCCAAAAGCCCTGGAAGAGAAGAGATTGTGGCATGGCCACTCCTTCCCCCTCCCCCCATGATTTCTCACTTTCCCTCTCACTGTTTCTGTCTCTCTCTTGTGAGCAAATGTGCCCTATAGCAAAAATCTCTCCAAAAAAAAAAAAGAAAGAAAAAAATAAGAAAAGAAAAAAAAGTGAGTCCTAGGAACTCTTTGAGTTCTAGTGATTCCTGGGGTCCCAAAAAGTGAACCAAGTTGCGGGAGAGTCATCTCCAACAGCACACACTGCAGTTGTGAATTTGGTTATTCTTTAAAAGCACAAACTCGACATTTTTAGATTTTCAGCTAGACTTCTGACTTGAAAGCAATTCTTATTCCAAACAGATCCTCCATGGTGATGAAATGAACAAGGAGAAGGTTGTGAGGGGCTGTGAAAAAAATACTTCTTGGGTGTCAAAAGCCACTGTAGAAGCCAAAATCATGTTCATAATGGATTCAACTGCAGGAGTGTAATACACAAACAGGTGTTCCAATGGATGCCTTTATTATCTCCCTTAACTATTGCTATGAAATTTCCTTCGTGGGTTTGGAGCACTCTTCTTTAGTTTTCTCTGTAATTCTTCTTGTAGCACCCATCTCCAAAAGCCAAATGCACCCAACTATGTCAGGTATGTTTCATTCTCACTTTTATTTGATTATTTGAGGCCAGCAGATATTCAGACTCTTGCTATTTCTTGGTAGCCTATGCCATTAATAAAACCTTATGATTCATGGTTTCAAAATGGAAGCACCCAATTTAGTATTATGAACATATTATTATATCTTGAAATACCTAGTTCTGTTGTTGCCAGGAATGATAAAAAGTATCCCCCTTTTCTTCCAAATTAAATGAAGGATTTCATGGGACTCTCATGGTATTTGAGAGTATGTATTATTTAACTATGTATTATTTGCTAATCAGATCCTTTTCCTCCTATTTTAAAGAAGAATGTCACCAAACAATACAATACATTATAACTTTCTAAAAGACAATTGGTGCCAAATGAGATTAAAAATGTAGTTACTGGGGCCAGCAGGTGATGTGATGGTTAAGATGCTGAGTCCCATATGGGCCACTGGGCTGTTCAAGTCCTGGACCAGGCAGCTTGAAAAACATGCTGGGTGTGTGTGTGTGCCCAAAATTGCAATTGGAGAATGGAGGAGAAGGGACTGTGCTGTGGTCATCCTCCTTGGGAGGTGATTTCTTCACTTTCTCTTCCTGTCTCTCTTTGACACTCTCTAGTGAGCACACACACCCTATAGCAAAAAAACTTTAAAAAAATTAAAAAGCAATTACTGTAATAGAGAATATTATTTTATTAATTTTACATGTTGATAAATACTCCTTCAGTAACAATTTGTTGGTTTCTCAAAAGCATCATCCTTTGTGTATGAATAGGCAATTCAAGTGCACAGAGGCAAGATCTGGAACAAACAAACCGAATTTCTGTAATTCGTGGGAAACAGTTCATTCCAGTCCTCTCAGGTACCAGAATCACAGACTTCAGTGGAAGAGAGGGGTAGGGAGGGAGGTGGAGGCTTATGTGTCTGGACGAGCATGGTGCTGTCATTCCTGACTCTTTTAATTTCCACAAATTGTCACAGAGTGATGCCTGAAGCGCGTGACTTCGAACTTCTGCTGCTTTAAAAGGCCTGGTGGCTTTCCAACCAAATCCGTAGACTCAATCTATTGGTGTGTTTGTCTAATAAATTCTTTTTGTAATGATTTCTTGGTTAATTCTTTCTTGTTCTCTGTTAACAAAGCTTTTAAATAAGTTTTTAATTATGAGAGGGTATATATATGTATTCGTCCACCAACTAGCACTCATGAATAGACTATTTCTACCCTAACATTACTTTTTTTTTTTTAAAGGAATTATTGGACCATCAGAAAAGTCATGATGCATTTTTGCATAGACAAACAAAAAAATGCATCATGACTTTTCTCTTTTTTTTTGAGAGGTTTGCTATAGGGCGTGTGCGCCCACCAGACAGATAGAGAGAGACAGAGAGACAGAAAGCAGGAAATCACCCCCCAGGGGGGATGGCCACGCCGCAATCCCTTCTTCTCCATTCTCCTCTCAGGATCTTGGGCACGCACGCACACGCGCCCGGCGTGAATTTAAGTCACCGGGTCCAGGACTTGAACCGCAGTCGACCATGTGGGAGTCCAGTGACATAGCCATTACACTAACTGCTGGTCCCACATCA